CATCCTTCCTCTTCTTCAGACATTCTCTCATCCCCACTTTCCCCCTTTTTTTGCTCTTCCTCTTCTTCAGACATTCCATTCTCCTCATCCTCAGACCTTCTCCCATTTTCCCTTTTCTCTCTTCCTCTTCTTCAGACACTCCTCATCCTCATTTCTTCTCCCATTTCCTTTTGCTCTTCCTCTTCTTCAGACATTCTCCTCATCCTCTTCTTCCCATTTCCTTTTGCTCTTCCTCTTCTTCAGACATTCTCCTCATCCTCTTTACACTTCTCCCATTTCCTTTTTGCTCTTCCTCTTCTTCAGACATTCTCCTCATCCTCTTTACACTTCTCCCATTTCCTTTTTGCTCTTTTTTCCTCTTCTCTTCTTCAGACATTCTCCTCATCCTCTTTACACTTCTCCCATTTTTTTGCTCTTCCTCTTCTTCAGACATTCTCCTCATCCTCTTCACACTTCTCCCATTTCCTTTTTTGCTCTTCCTCTTCTTCAGACATTCTCCTCATCCTCTTTCACACTTCTCCCATTTCCTTTTGCTTTCCTCTTCTTCAGACATTCTCCCTCATTCTTCACACTTCTCCCATTTCTTTTGCTCTTCCTCTTCTCTTCCTCTCCTCTTCACACTTTCCCCATCCTCTTCTCGTCCTCTTCACCCTTTCCTTTTTTTGCTCTTCCTCTTCTTCAGACATTCTCCTCATCCTCTTCACACTTCTCATTTCCTTTTTGCTTTCCTCTTTTGACATTCTCTTCCCTCTTCTCCCATTTCCTTTTGCTCTTCCTCTTCTTCAGACATTCTCCTCATCCTCTTCACACTTCTTCCATTTCCCTTTTTTGCTCTTCCTCTTCTTCAGACATTCTCCTCATCCTCTTCTTCACTTCTCCCATTTCCTTTTGCTCTTCCTCTTCTTCAGACATTCTCCTCATCCTCTTTACACTTCTCCCATTTCCTTTTGCTCTTCCTCTTCTTCAGACATTCTCCTCATCCTCTTCTTCTCCCATTTCCACTCTTCCTCTTCTTCAGACATTTCCTCATCCTCTTTTCTCCCATTTCCTTTTGCTCTTCCTCTTCTTCAGACATTCATCCTCTTTACACTTCTCCCATTTCCTTTTGCTCTTCCTCTTCTTCAGACATTCTCCTCATCACCTCTTTACACTTCCATTTCCTTTTCTTTTCCAGACATTCTCCCTCATCCTCTTTCATTTCCTATTTGCTCTTCCTCTTCTTCAGACATTCTCCATCATCCTCTTCACACTTCTCCCATTTCCTTTTGCTCTTCCTCTTCTTCAGACATTCTCCTCATCCTCTTCACACTTCTCCCATTTCCTTTTGCTCTTCCTCTTCTTCAGACATTCTCCTCATCCTCTTTATTCTCCATTTCTTTTTGCTCTTCCTTCTTCAGACATTCTCCTCATCCTCTTTACCTTCTCCCATTTTTCCTTTTTGCTCTTCCTCTTCTTCAGACATTCTCCTCATCCTCTTTACACTTCTCCCCCTTTTTGCTCTTCCTCTTTCAGACATTCTCCTCATCCTTTTCACACATTTCCTTCTCTTCCTCTTCTTCCTCTCTTCCTCCTTTCACATTTCCTTTTTTTGACTTCTCCTCATCCTCCTTTCACACTTCTCCCATTTTTTGCTCTTCCTCTTCTTCAGACATTCTCCTCATCCTCTTCACTTCTCCCATTTCCTTTTTGCTCTTCCTCTTCTTCAGACATTCTCCTCATCCTCTTCACACTTCTCCCATTTCCTTTTTGCTCTTCCTCTTCTTCAGACATTCTCCTCATCCTCTTCCCCTTCTCCCATTTCCTTTTTGCTCTTCCTCTTCTTCAGACATTCTCCTCATCCTCTTCACACTTCTCCCATTTCTTTTTTGCTCTTCCTCTTCTTCAGACATTCTCCTCATCCTCTTCACACTTCTCCCATTTCCTTTTTGCTCTTCCTCTTCTTCAGACATCTCATTTTTGCTCTTCCTCTTCACTTCTCCCATTTCCTTTTGCTCTTCCTCTTCTTCAGACATTCTCCTCATCCTCTTTCACTTCTCCCATTTCCTTTTGCTCTTCCTCTTCTTCAGACATTCTTCACCTTCTCCCATTTTTCCTTTTTGCTCTTCCTCTTCTTCAGACATTCTCCTCATCCTCTTCACCTTCTCCCATTTTCCTTTTTGCTCTTCCTCTTCTTCAGACATTCTCCTCATCCTCTTCACACTTCTCCCATTTCCTTTTTGCTCTTCCTCTTCTTCAGACATTCTCCTCATCCTCTTCACACTTCTCCCATTTCCTTTTTGCTCTTCCTCTTCTTCAGACATTCCTCATCCTTTCACCTTCTCCCATTTCCTTTTTTGCTCTTCCTCTTCTTCAGACATTCTCCTCATTCTCTTCTCCCATTTCCTTTTTGCTCTTCCTCTTCTTCAGACATTTCCTCATCCTCTTTCTTCTCCCATTTCCTTTTTGCTCTTCCTCTTCTTCAGACATTCTCCTCATCCTCTTTACACACTCCCATTTCTTTTTGCTCTTCCTCTTCTTCAGACATTCTCCTCATCCTCTTTTACACTTCTCCCATTTCCTTCTTCTTCAGACATTCTCCTCATCCTCTTTCACTTCTCCCATTTCCTTTTGCTCTTCCTCTTCTTCAGACATTCTCCTCATCCTCTTCTTCTCCCATTTCCTTTTTGCTCTTCCTCTTCTTCAGTCATTCCCATCCTCTTCCCTTCTCCCATTTCCTTTTGCTCTTCCTCTTCTTCAGACATTCTCCTCATCCTCTTCACTCTTCTCCCATTTCCTTGTTGCTCTTCCTCTTCTTCAGACATTCTCCTCATCCTCTTCACACTTCTCCCATTTCCTTTTTGCTCTTCCTCTTCTTCAGACATTCTCCTCATCCTCTTTACCTTCTCCCATTTCCTTTTGCTCTTCCTCTTCTTCAGACATTCTCCATTCTCCCATTTCTTTTGCTCTTCCTCTTCTTCAGACATTCTCCTAATCTCTTCACTTCTCTTTTCCATTTTTTGCTCTTCCTCTTCTTCAGACATTCTCCTCATCCTTCTCCCATTTTCCTTTGCTCTTCTTCTTCAGACATTCTCCTTCCTCTTTTTCTCCCATTTCCTTTTTGCTCTTCCTCTTCTTCAGACATTCTCATCCTCTTTCTCATCCTCTTCACACTTCTCCTTCATTTCCCTTTTTTGCTCTTCCTCTTCTTCAGACATTCTCCTCATCTCTTCACACTTCTCCCATTTCCCTTCTTCCTTTTTGACATCTTCCTCATCCTCTTCAGACACTTCTCCCATTTCCTCTTCCTTCTTCAGACATTCTCCACATCCTTCTCCCCCCTTCTCCCATTTCCCTTTTTGCTCTTCCTCTTCTTCAGACATTCTCCTCACATTCCTCCTCTTCACTTCTCCCATTTTCCTTTTTTGCTCTTCCTCTTCTTCAGACATTCTCCTCATCTTCTCCCATTTCTTTTTTGCTCTTCCTCTTCTTAGACATTCTCCTCATCCTCTTCACTCTTCCTCTTCCCATTTCCTCATTTCACACTTTCCCATTTTCTTTCTTCCTCTTCTTCAGACATTCTCCTCATCTTTCTCCCATTTCCTTTTTCTTCCTCTTCTTCAGACATTCTCCTCATCCATTTCCTTTCCCATTTCCTTTTTGCTCTTCTCCAGACATTTTCATCCTCTTTTTCTCATTTCCTTTTTGCTCCTCTTCTTCAGACATTCTCCTCATCCTCTTCACACTTCTCCCATTTCCTTTTGCTCTTCCTCTTCTTCAGACATTCTCCTCACACTTCTCCCATTCTTTCCTTTTTTACACTTCTCTTCCTCTTCTTCTTCAGACATTCTCCTCATCCTCTTTACACTTCTCCCATTTCCTTTTTGCTCTTCCTCTTCTTCAGACATTCTCCTCATCCTCTTCACCTTCTCCCATTTTCCTTTTGCTCTTCCTCTTCTTCAGACACATCCTCTTCTTCAGACATTCTCCTCATCCTCTTCACACTTCTCCCATTTTCTCTTTTTCTTCAGACATTTCCTCTTCTTCACACTTCTCCCATTTCTTTCCTCATCCTTCTTCAGACATTCTCCCTCATCCTCTTCACTTCTCCCCATTTCCTTTTGCTCTTCCTCTTCTTCTTCCATTTCTTCTTCAGACATTCTCTCCTCTTACACTTCTCCCTTTTGCTCTTTCACATTCTCTTCTCCCATTTCCTTTTTGCTCTTCCTCTTCTTCAGACATTCTCCTAATCCTCTTCCCTTCTCCCATTTCCTTTTGCTCTTCCTCTTCTTCAGACATTCTCTTTCTCTCTCATTTTGCTCTTCCTCTTCATTCTCCCCATTTCCTCCTTTTTGCTCTTCCTCTTCTTCAGACATTCTCCTCATCCTCTTTACACTTCTCCCATTTCCTTTTTGCTCTTCCTCTTCTTCAGACATTCTTCTCCTTTACACTTCTCCCATTTCCTTTTGCTCTTCCTCTTCTTCAGACATTCTCTCATCCTCTTCACCTTCTCCCATTTCCTTTTTTGCTCTTCCTCTTCATACATTTTCAGACATTCTCCTCATCCTCTTCACACTTCTCCCATTTCTTTTTGCTCTTCCTCTTCTTCAGACATTCTCCTCATCCTCTTTCCACTTCTCCATTTCCTTTTTGCTCTTCCTCTTCTTCAGACATTCTCCTCATCCTCTTTCTTCTCCCATTTCCTTTTTGCTCTTCCTCTTCTTCAGACATTCTCCTCATCCTCTTACACTTCTCCCATTTCCTTTTTGCTCTTCCTCTTCTTCAGACATTCTCCTCATCCTCTTTTCTCCCTTTCCTTTTGCTCTTCCTCTTCTTCAGACATTCTCCTCATCCTCTTCCTCTTACACTTCTCCATTTCCTTTTTGCTCTTCCTCTTCTTCAGACATTCTCCTCATCCTCTTTACCCTTCTCCCACTTTTTCTCTCCTCCCATTTCCTTTTTGCTCTTCCTCTTCTTCAGACATTCTCCTAATCTTCTCATTTCCTTTTTGCTCTTCCTCTTCTTTGACATTCTCCTCACTTCTCATTTCCTTTTTGCTCTTCATTTCCTTTTTCATCCTCTTCCTCTTCTTCTTCAGACATTTCTCTCATCCCTTTACACTTCTCCCATTTCCTTTTGCTCTTCCTCTTCTTCAGACATTCTCCTCATCCTCTTTACACTTCTCCCATTTCCTTTTTGCTTTTCCTCTTCTTTTGACATTCTCCTCATCCTTCTCCCTTTCCTTCAGACATTTTCCTCTACCTTCACCTGTTTCCTTTTGCTCCTCTTCTCCTCATCCTCTTTTACATTCTCCTCTTCCTCTTCTTCAGACATTCTCCTCTCCTCTTCACACTTTCCATTTCCTTTTTGCTCTTCCTCTTCTTCAGACATTCTCTCATCCTCTTCACACTTCTCTCATTTCCTTTTGCTCTTCCTCTTCTTCAGACATTCTCCTCATCCTCTTCACACTTCTCCCATTTCCTTTTTGCTCTTCCTCTTCTTCAGACATTCTCCTCATCCTCTTTCCTCTTTCAGACATTCTCCCATTTCCTCTTTTCCTATTTCTTCCTCTTCTTCAGACATTTCCTTTTGCTCTTCTTCTTCAGACATTCTCTTCTTCAGACATTTTCTATTTTCATCCTCTTCTTCAGACATTCTCCATTTCCTTTTGCTCTTCCTCTTCTTCTCCCATTCTCCTTCTCCTCATTTACCCTTCTTCATTTCTTTTGCTCTTCCTCTTCTTCAGACATTCTCCTCATCCTCCACTTCTTCTCCATTTCCTTTTTGCTCTTCCTCTTCTTCAGACATTCTCCTCATCCTCTTCACACTTCTCTCATTTCCTTATTTGCTCTTCCTCTTCTTCAGACATTCTCTCATCCTCTTTCTTCTCCCATTTCCTTTTTGCTCTTCCTCTTCTTCAGACATTCTCCTCATCCTCTTTACCTTCTCCTCATTTCCTTTTTGCTCTTCCTCTTCTTCAGACATTCTCCTCATCCTCTTCACACTTCTCCCATTTCCTTTTTGCTCTTCCTCTTCTTCAGACATTCTCCTCATCCTCTTCACACTTCTCCCATTTCCTTTTTGCTCTTCCTCTTCTTCAGACATTCTCCTCATCCTCTTCACACTTCTCCCATTTCCTATTTGCTCTTCCTCTTCTTCAGACATTCTCCTCATCCTCTTTACACTTCTCCCATTTCCTTTTTGCTCTTCCTCTTCTTCAGACATTCTCCTCATCCTCTTTACACTTCTCCCATTTCCTTTTTGCTCTTCCTCTTCTTCAGACATTCTCCTCATCCTCTTCACACTTCTCCCATTTCCTTTTTGCTCTTCCTCTTCTTCAGACATTCTCCTCATCCTCTTCACACTTCTCTCCCTTTTCCTCTTTGCTCTTCCTCTTCTTCAGACATTCTTCTCATCCTCTTTTCAGACATTCTCCTTCTCCCATTTCCTTTTTCCTTTTTCAGACTTCTTCCTCTTCTTCAGACATTCTCCTCATCCTCTTCACACTTCTCCCATTTCCTTTTTGCTCTTCCTCTTCTTCAGACATTCTCCTCATTCTCTTCTCATCCTCTTTCTTCAGACATTTCTCCTCTCTCATTTCCTTTTTGCTCTTCCTCTTCTTCAGACATTTCCTCATCCTCTTCACCTTCTCCCATTTCCTTTTGCTCTTCCTCTTCTTCAGACATTCTCTCATCCTCTTCACACTTCTCCCATTTCCTTTTGCTCTTCCTCTTCTTCAGACATTCTCCTCAGACACTTCTCTCTTCCTCTTCATCAGACATTCTCCTCATCCTCTTCACACTTCTCCCATTTCCTTTTTGCTCTTCCTCTTCTTCAGACATTCTCCTTCCTCCTTCTCCCATTTCCTTTTGCTCTTCCTCTTCTTCAGACATTCTCCTCATCTTTACACTTCTCCCATTTCCTTTTTGCTCTTCCTCTTCTTCAGACATTCTCCTCATCCTCTTCTTCTCCCATTTCCTTTTGCTCTTCCTCTTCTTCAGACATTCTTCTCCTCTTACACTTCTCCATTTCCTTTTTGCTCTTCCTCTTCTTCAGACATTCTCCTCCTCCTCTTCACCCTTCTCCCATTTCCTTTTGCTCTTCCTCTTCTTCAGACATTCCTCCTCATCCTAACACTTCTCCCATTTCCTTTTGCTCTTCCTCTTCTTCAGACATTCTCCCATCCTCTTCACACTTCTCCCATTTCTTTTTGCTCTTCCTCTTCTTCAGACATTCTCCTCATCCTCTTTACACTTCTCTCTTCATCAGATATTTTTCCCTTTTTGCTCTTCCTCTTCTTGACATTCTCCTCATCCTCTTCACTTCTCCCATTTCCTTTTGCTCTTCCATTTTCATTTCCTTTTGCTCTTCCTCAGACATTCTCCTCATCCTCTTCCTCATTCTCCTTCTTCCATTTCCTCTTCTTCCATTTCCTGCTTTACACTTCCCTTCCTTTTGCTCTTCCTCTTCTTCAGACATTCTCCTCATCCTCTTCACACTTCTCCCATTTTCCTTTTTTGCTCTTCCTCTTCTTCAGACATTCTCCTCATCCTCATTTCTACCTTCTTCCCATTTCCCTTTTGCTCTTCCTCTTCTTCAGACATTCTCCTCATCCTCTTTACACTTCTCCCATTTCCTTTTGCTCTTCCTCTTCTTCAGACATTCTCCTCATCCTCTTTACACTTCTCCCATTTCCTTTTTGCTCTTCCTCTTCTTCAGACATTCTCCTCATCCTCTTTCTTCTCCCATTTCCTTTTGCTCTTCCTCTTCTTCAGACATTCTTCTCCTCTCCTTACACTTCTCTCATTTCCTTTTTTTGCTCTTCCTCTTCTTCAGACATTCTCCTCATCCTTCTTCATTTCCTTTTCTCTTCCTCTTCTTCAGACATTCTTCATCCTCTTCACACTTCTCATTTCCATTTCTTCTTTTCCTAATCCTCACTTCTCTCATTTCTATTTCCTCTTCCAGACATTCTCCTCATCCTCTTCACACTTCTCTCATTTTCTTTTTTGCTCTTCCTCTTCTTCAGACATTCTCCTCATCCTCTTCACACTTCTCCCATTTCCTTTTTCTCTTCTTCTCTTCTTCAGACACACACTTCTTCTCCTTCCTCTTCTTCAGACATTCTCCTCATCCTCTTCTTCTCATTTCTTTTTTGCTCTTCCTCTTCTTCAGACATTCTCCCTTCACACCTTCTCCCATTTCCTTTTGCTCTTCCTCTTCTTCAGACATTCTCCTCATCCTCTTCACACTTCTCCCATTTCCTTTTGCTCTTCCTCTTCTTCAGACATTCTCCTCATCCTCTTCACCTTCTCCCATTTCCTTTTTGCTCTTCCTCTTCTTCAGACATTCTCTCATCCTCTTCACACTTCTCCCATTTCCTATTTGCTCTTCCTCTTCTTAGACATTCTCCTCATCCTCTTTTACATTTCCTATTTGCTCTTCTCTTCTTCAGACATTCTCTCATCCTCTTCACACTTCTCCCATTTCCTATTTGCTCTTCCTCTTCTTCAGACATTCTCCATTCTTCTCCCATTTCCTTTTTGCTCTTCCTTCTTCAGACATTCTCCTCATCCTCTTCTCCCATTTCCTTTTTGCTCTTCCTCTTCTTCAGACATTCTCCTCATCCTCTTCACACTTCTCTCATTTCCTTTTTGCTCTTCCTCTTCTTCAGACATTCTCCTCATCCTCTTTACACTTCTCCGTTTCCCATTTCCTTTTTGCTCTTCCTCTTCTTCAGACATTCTCCTCATCCTCTTTTACCTTCTCCCATTTCCCTCTCTTCTTCAGACATTCTCCTCCTCATTTCCCATTTTCCTTTTGCTCTTCCTCTTCTTCAGACATTCTCCTCATCCTCTTCACTTCTCCCATTTCCTTTTTGCTCTTCCTTCTTCATTCTCCTCAGACATTCTCCTCATTTCCTCTTCCTCTTTCCCATTTCTAATCCTCTTCCTTCTCCCATTTCCTCTTCCTCTTCTTCAGACATTCTCCTCTCCTCTTCACTTCTCCCATTTCCTTTTTGCTCTTCCTCTTCTTCAGACATTCTCCTCATCCTCTTCACACTTCTCCCATTTCCTTTTGCTCTTCCTCTTCTTCAGACATTCTCCTCATCCTCTTTACACTTCTCCCATTTTCCTTTTTGCTCTTCCTCTTCTTCAGACATTCTCCTCATCCTCTTTACGCCTTCTCCCATTTCCTTTTTGCTCTTCCTCTTCTTCAGACATTCTCCTCATCCTCTTTACCTTCTCCCACTTTTCCTTTTGCTCTTCCTCTTCTTCAGACATTCTCCTCATCCTCTTCACACTTCTCCCATTTCCTTTTTTGCTCTTCCTCTTCTTCAGACATTCTCCTCATCCTCTTTACACCTTCTCCCATTTTCCTTTTTGTCTTCCTCTTCTTCAGACATTCTCCTTCTCTTTACTTCTTCATTTCCTTCCCCTTTTCAGACATTCTTCCTCTTCTTCAGACATTCTCCTTCCTCTTCTTCAGACATTCTCCTTCTCTTCATTTCCTATTTGCTCTTCCTCTTCTTCAGACATTCTCCTCATCCTCTTCACACTTCTCCCATTTCCTTTTTGCTCTTCCTCTTCTTCAGACATTCTCCTTATCCTCTTCTTCTCCCATTTCCTTTTGCTCTTCCTCTTCTTCAGACATTCTCCTCATCCTCTTACACTTCAGACGTTTCTCCTCTTCCTCTTTTCAGACATTCTCCTTCCTCCCACTTCTCCCATTTCCTTTTGCTCTTCCTCTTCTTCAGACATTCTCCTCATCCTCTTTACACTTCTCCCATTTCCTTTTGCTCTTCCTCTTCTTCAGACATTCTCCTAATCCTCTTCACACTTCTCCCATTTCTTTTGCTCTTCCCTTCTTCAGACATTCTCCTCATCCTCTTTACACTTCTCCCATTTCTTTTTGCTCTTCCTCTTCTTCAGACATTCTCCTCATCCTCTTTACACTTCTCCCATTTCCTATTTCTTCCTCTTCTTCAGACATTCTCCTCATCCTCTTCACACTTCTCCCATTTCCTTTTGCTCTTCCTCTTCTTCAGACATTCTCCTCGTCCTCTTCACCCTTCTCCCATTTCCTTTTTGCTCTTCCTCTTCTTCAGACATTCTCCTAATCCTCTTCACACTTCTCTCATTTCCTATTTGCTCTTCCTCTTCTTCAGACATTCTCCTCATCCTCTTTACACTTCTCCCATTTCCTTTTTGCTCTTCCTCTTCTTCAGACATTCTCCTCTTTCTCCTCTTTTACATGCTTCCACTACCTCTCCTTCTTCTTCTATGTACCTCTTTCTCCTTCATACTTCCTCCCCCTTCTCATATTTTCACTTCCTCTTCTTCTATGCATTTCCTCCTCTTCATTCTTCTAAGAACTTCTTCTCCTACGCTTCTTTTTCTTTATACTTTCCCAACCTTCTTGTGCACATTTCCTCCTCCTCATTTTCTACACCTTTCTTCCTCCTCTTTTACAAATTTCTTCCTCATCCTCCTCCTCTTCCTGTACACACTTCCTTCTCTTTTTCTTCTTCTACATCTTTTTCCTCCTTCTCATCTTCTACATGCTTTCTCCTCCTCCTCTTCCCCTTCGTATACATGCTTCCTCTGCCTCTTTTTCTTCTATGCACTTCTTTCTCCTTTATACTTCCTCCCCCTCCTCCACTTCTTTTACACACTTCGTACTTATCCTTTTCCTTCCCCCTTCTTCTACACACATCTTCCTTCTCTTCTACAAATTTCTTCCTCCTCCTCCTCCTCTTCCCGTGCACACTTCCTTCTCCTTTTCCTCTTCTCCACCATCCTTCTCATCTTCTTCTACACGCTTTCACCCCCTCCTGCTCCTCATCTTCTTTTGCACACTTTCTTTTCTTCCTCATCTTCTATAGACTTCTTCCTTCTCTACTCCAACCCCTAGTTTTTCTTCTAATAGATCATTTTTAAATCTGTTATTTATTTAATTATCATCACAATCATCCCCACCTTTTACTCATCTTCCTCCTTATCTTCTTCATCAACTTCATTATCAACATCACTAAGTTTATCCTTCAAAACTGAACTTTGAACAAAAAACTAACATTATTAAGCTCTGATATTGTTTGCCTATTTTTTCATTTTTTTCCTAAAATTTACTTTAATTTTCCCTCTTTTTAATTTTTTAATAGGAATCAAATTTCAAGCAATCACAATTCTTCATTTGGAAATGCTTGCCCTGTTCATTATTTTCTTCCATTTTTTTTTCTTTCCTATCTCCATTTTTTATTTCATTACTGAATTTTTTTTTGTCTTTTATATGTGTTTTTATTGCTTTGTTACATCCGTAATATCTTTGCAACTTCCCTTCATAATTCTCATCCATTTTTATTTGGTATTTTTCAAAAACAAAACTATGAAGACAAAAGAAAAGAAAAAAGGGGAAAAATGACTTCATAGGATAGTGTGTTTAACCAGTTTGGTTACATTTGAGATGTGAGCATAAAGAATGAGAGAATAACAAGAATTAAAGAATGAGAGAATCAAAAGAGTTAAGGAATGACAGAATTACAACCAATTCTTTGAATAAACGTTTGGAAAATGGATGGGTCTTCTTGGCTCACAATTTAAACCAGCTCCTTGTTATCTGCCTCATTATCAGAAGAACCATTTATAACACTATCTGGCATTGATTTTATGTAAATTGAATGACCAGAAATGGCAGGCTATGATTAAGGCTGTGGAGGGATGGGAGTAGAAGAAAATGAAAAAGAAACGATTTAGAAATCTAAAAAAGAAAAATGATGTGGAAGGATAAAGAATTATATAAGAAGAAAAAGAGAGTTGGATATGTTAAATGAAGAGGAAGAGAAAGAAAATGAAAGAAGAGGATGGAGATGATAAAAGAACAAGTAAAGAAATGGAAACAATGAATAAAGTAGCAGAAGAAGAAAGAAGAAGAAAAACTTAGAAAGAAAAGGAATGAAGAATAAGTAATAAAAAAAAATATTGGAAAAAAGAAAAAGAAAATATAAGAAACAGTGATAGAAATATGAATGAAAAGAAGCAGGAAAGAAATTAAGAAAAGGAAAACAAACAGGAAGTGGAAAAATAAGAAGAAAAACAGAAAAGAAGAAAAACTGTGTAAAGAGGAAAAGAAAAAAAGAAAAGGAGTTGTAATTCTGGTGCAAAAAGAGATTGAAAAATGAAGAAAAAAATATTTTTGTGAAAAAAATTATAAAAGAAGAAAAAAAACAAAAACAAAATATTAAAAAGGAAAAAGAATAAGATGAAAAAAGGAGAAGGGAAAGGAAATGAATGAAAAGAAGAAAACAGAAAAAGATAGGACAGAGAAAGAGAAGAAAGAAAAAATGAAGAAAATGAGAATGAGAATAGAAAATGGTAAAATAAAGAAAAAACAAATGAAGAATGAGTGAGAAGAAGAAGAAGAAGAAGAAGAAGAAGAAGAAGAAGAAGAAGAAGAAAGAAAGGGAGGGAGAAGAAGAAGAAGAAAAAGAAGAAGAAGAAGAAGAAGAAGAAGTTAACAAAGAAAAATAATAATGATAAAAATTAGAACCAAAACATTGTAGAATTAGCAGGAAAGGAAGTGTCCATTAACCTTGTCATATCCATAAGGACAAAATGAATTCAAATATTAAGGCAAGGTGGGAGCACCAAAGATTTTTCTCCCCTAGCAGCCCCCCACCAAAAAAAAAATGAATTCTGTTTTGACCTGCAAAGAATACTCTCGTTGTTTCACTTAATTATTTTGATAATTCATTATTTTTAAATCAAGGTTTTTTTTTTCTCTTTTTGGCTTAAAAGAAAAACTTTGACTTAAAAATAATGAATTATCAAAATAACATTCTCATTCTCACTCTCTCTCTCCCTATCTCTTTTCTCTTCCACTTTTCCTATAACTCTCACTTACTCTCATCTCTTCCCTTCCTTTCCTTCTCTCTTAC